CATTGCTACTGGACGCTAGCAAATCGCACACACCGATTCGCTCTTCGCCGTCTACAATAATCTCAATCACGTTTAGATGTATCCATTTTGGATATGATAGCAGGTCATTCATCGCTTCGACGTGACATGCCGTTGCTGGATTTAATATCAACGCATATGCGTACACCGGTAAAAAGTACAGGCCAAAACGTCCCATTTTTGTATAACACTTGAAAACTCACAAAATACGGTCTTGGATAAAAATTTGTACACGTATGTGGATGATAAACTATAGCCAGTAGAAATACTATGTCGATAAAAGCATATTGTAGCGACGTGATGTGGAAGAAAAGTATTGTAGGTAAAAGCGACAAAGAAAACAAGTTTCACTTTTAAAGTGGGACTCGGTATTTGTTTTTTGAGTGTATTAATGTATTTCATTTTGTGTGACAGTAGGTAAACTATGTGAGTCGTTCTAGAAAATCATCGTGTGCTAACCAAAACTATAGTGCCACAACGAGTAGATGGTATTTTTTCATATTTTTTTGTATTCGTATGGTTTAACCAAACACCCAAGTGTGTTTGCTATCAGAATGAAACTAATGCAATAACTGCCACTACCTCTGATGTTAAAGCTATAAGTTGCAAACCCCCAAAGAAAAAAATGCAAGCTAGGCCTTAGCTAACGTCAACGACAAACGTAAAACGACAACTAGCAACAGGCAATATGTCTACCGCAAACGGCAGATTGTAAAGGGAAACTCTTTGTTTTGAAAACAGTGCACATTAATTGATATAAGCCGCATTTTTAATTCCGGTCGACCGCACGATTAGTAATAACTAAATATACTAATAAGTGTTGACAACTGTCATTCCCAAATGATTTGCTAAACTGTTTGAAAGAGAACCGAGAAGTGCAGGTTTCTTATACACTTGCTGATTGCAGTAAAACAAAAGTGCTGTGGTAAAAAAAAAAAAATCGAACAATTTATAATATAAATTATTAATTAAATAAAAGATAGAAAACAAAGGGTAGGAAATCACATTAATAATATATTAAGGTAATATCCAGTGTTGCCAGAATTAAAAAATGGGATTAACGTACAATGTCTTCAAAATTACCGTAATGTACATTTAATTACCGTACACGAAAAATTGCACACAGTCTTCGCGAATTATAAGTCAATAATCATTATATATTTATAAACTATTTACACTGATTTAGTTAATAATAATTATTAGGAAGGTAAGTAATTAAGTGTTAAGTAAAGTGACCTACGTTAAAGATGCTAGATACCAATCTAATTTAATACAATTAATAATTATACATTTTTGTCAACAAAACTGCTATAACATCGAAAATATATCCTTCTATATCCTTATATCCTTATATGTCCTCCTTATGAGGGTGGGAATGGGGATGGAAATGGGGATAGGGGCGTACTATTATATTTCCATCCGAGTTGCTACAAATGTAAATTTTAGCACCTTTTAAACAGCTGTAAGGACACTTAGCTATTACGTTATAATACGTTATTAGTATTATAATCCAAATTTTTAGCAACGATGCGGTCTGCGAGAGTATAGGTTTGACAACAATGTGTTGGTTTTAATCGACGATATTTCATAAACCGCTTAACCGATTTCTTTGCGTAGCAACTCTATAGATTAAAATTCGTACCTTTATTGGGCTTTTTTACTCTCTAAACGTTTTATTAAGGAAAACCTAAGAGAAAAAAAATGAAAAACTTCACTTGGACCGTGGTCAATTTCTAGGATGCTATGTGTGAATGAGTTAACAGTCAACAGATACTTGCAAATAGTTGATATATATTTATATATGGCTAACTATGGCAATAAATTATTACAGACAGACGAACAACGCTAATTGTATTGAGCCTAATACAAAAAATGAATTTTTTAACACCATTATCATATTCGCACTGGAGAGTTTGTATTTGCAAGTTATTCATGTAATAATTCGTATACTTGTGACCACCCTCACTCTCATTTAGCTCCGTCACCACAAAAATCATTTACTGTCGATGCTAAAAGTAATTACTGTTAGAACTAATATATGCATTACAAGATGGTAGCGACTAGCGTTGCATTAGATACAAGCACAGCTATGACATATATATAAAATAAAAAATGAATATATAGCTTTACAAAAGCGTTAACCAGAGAATATATTTTAATTAAACAATATTTGTTTAAGAAAAGAACTGAGTTTGGTTCAGTTATATGGTCACCGAGCTATCTTTTATACAAACATTTAATTGAGAATATTCAGTTCTATTATTAAGTTATACATTAAATATACCTATTCCTAATAATTTGCAAATCTCTTGCTTGGAATTCACGTTTTGTCAATTAAGGAGAAATGTTGCTGATATCATCTTCTTATTTGATTTATTAAATCGTTTTATTGATTCCCCTGAACTGCTATCTATGATTGGACTTAAAACATACAATTTTCGTTGTTTAAAAAAAACTAATTTGTTTCATGTCCCATTTTATACTACAGTATAACTATAGTTCCATATCTTTTTTCCCAAGAACTCTCTCTTTAGATAACCTTATTGACGAAAAATTAGGTTTCTTTTTTTTGTCATGCGATTTCTTTAGACAATGTTTATATTTAGCTTTAAGTCAAATAGCTATTTGATTTTCGTTTACGTTTTTTATATGTTTTGAATTGTGTATTATAATCTTATTACTTGTTATATTATTATTGTCATTCCACTGTGATTAATCATTTATGTTATACTTGAATTGTATTTTTACATAGGTTCTTATACCTGTCTACAGACTACAATAAAAAAAAATATAAAAAAAATAAGGTATACAATAATATATGGTGATCGATGCATAATTGCACAAAGATAAACAAAAACATGAGGTAAAATAAATACAGAGATACTGAACAAGCTTTAAAATTTTGAATTAACTAGAATAATTAGTAACAGATTTTACAATTATCTTAATACACAACAAGCTAGGTACAAGTAGGCTGGATCAACAATTACGTCACCATAAAGACACTAATTGTTAAATGATCAATTTATTATCAAATATTTCAGTTTACATAACTTTTACAAGCATTCTCAATTTATTACAATCCTTAGTTGGTTATTGTTGTCACATTTAAATTTTCATCCTTTTTACTACTCACAATCACTACCTATTCACTAATTACTTAATACCTATATTAATTCAGGTGAATGTTTCTATTCCTTATTATTTTTTGTTAGACTAAGTTACTTAAAAATGTTTTAATGCATTCTAAACTACACCTTTTACATCCCTGTGTATTTAGTATGTATTCATTTTAACGTTTTCAATGATGGTTTGTTTTAATTAATAATTTTTTTTAATTATATTATGTTTTATGTATACACTATGCACATTTCAACAAATAAATAAATATACTAATAAAGTATACTTTTTAAATCTTATGACGTATCTTGTCGTTTGATTCAACTAATAGTAATCATTATGTAACTTAAATATAAATATTATTGATGAAATCCCCAAAAAATGTGTTTATTACACTAAAACAAACGTTATTATATAGTTCAAGAATTGTACATAAGTGTACAATTATAAAAGAGAAGCTAGCCGAATTGGTTTGGATCACAGGTTAAGAGGGCGTCGCACCGGTGATTTTCAGTGGTAAAAACATGTTTAAGCAGACTGAAACTAACTTGCTTAATTTTGGTTTTAGAGTAAAAGCACCCATTATAAAATTAAAAGAAAACCCTATTCCGGAGGGCTAGACGGTGCGTTTTTTAAAAAAAATTAATTTTTTGGAAAGTTACAGTCATTTAAAAATGTTAAAATAGTCGTTATTTCTAAACTATGTATTGAGCGTTATACTTAGAATAATGAAAAAAACGCACCGTCTTGCCCTCCGAAATATTGTATACTTTTAATTTTATAATGGGTGCCTTTACTCTAAATCCAAAACTAAGCGAGTTATTTTCAGTCTGCTTAAACAAGTTGAGATGAAAAAACATTTTTAAATCGCTTTCAAGGATGCTGTGATAGTCGAAAAAATAAATTAACTACCAAAATAGAGTCCTAGTTATTGAACTAATAATTACACATCACAGTTTAACCTTTAAATTAAGATTTTGTAAAAAATTGCCTATACTTTACTCCTTAAAAATGGGCGGTGCGACGCCCTCTTAAGTGTAAAAAGGAAGACTTTTTGACACATGAAATTTCAGACAAGGCAATACAAATTGCTGCTTATTGGAAAGGGAAGGGAATATGAAGACCCGACACGACAAGAAGAAGAATATAACTAAAAATTACATATTTATGCTGGAGTTTTGTTTTGCAATTATAAACCTGGTTTTATTATTGCATTAAAGGGAAAAATATTTTTGGTGTCGGGCCACTTAACACTAATAAAATATAAATCATTAAGTTAAAAAATATGAATAAAATATAAATAATACAAGTAAAATAAAATATAAATAATTTGTTGAATGAAAGTTATAGAACTAAAAATATTTACTTGCCCTAACACAGCTTAAATGGAAAGTGGCAGCGTATGTCTTTCGTTAACTTCTGATAATAATATTTATAATGGTCTGTTTTGGACATTTACATGAACAAAATATAATTGAAAACAATATATACCAAGTACAAAGTATAAAAATGTAACGTTTTCTGAAAATCTATAACGTTGTTTAAAACGGTTTTGGCGAAGGCTGTTAACGAATTAACTGGGAGACGTCGCAAATACCACAAAAGTACAACGTTTGTTATGTTGCCTTTTTTTTTTTTTTTAGGAGCTTGTATATAATTATTAGTTTTTCTCGTTAAACATATTCAGTGTAGATACAAGTACCGTATTATACTACAGGCAGAAATGAGCAAATTTTAAATACATTTCTTTTTTATACGTATTTAATATCAAAAATTAAATTAAATTATTATTTATATAATAATAAAAACAAAAATAAATAACAATGAAAACAATTATACATTTTTATGAAATAAAAGTGTCAATAACATATAATAATATCCAAAAAACCCTGTATTAGTTCAACTAAATGAGTTACAACAAAATTTACCAGATATTTCCCACAATATAAATTTTAAGATTATTGTAAGAATAGTAGTTATCCAAATAAATATATAATTATAGTTTACTATAAGTAGTACTGTAAAAAAAACCATTCACATATATAATCTTATATTAATATACATTACCAACAAAATATCACAGCTTTTGATTTAATTTTACTAATTCGGCCAAGTCTTTCCAAAATTTTACTCTGGTTCCGTTCACTTGGCCTTCGACCGTATGAGTATCGTCGCCGTCGATGGATAGATATTTAGGATTATCCAAACTTGTAGGGTCCCATTTGACTTTAAGATCTGATGAATTCGGGTTTCTAAAGTAAAATACTGTTTTTATTTCAACAGTTTTTGTGTTATTAAAAAAAACATCGATAAACGGACCCTGTTTTTGCAAAATTAGTCCATAGTTTACACATTGTCCTGCACATACTCAATTCTTTGGAATTTGGTTCAGGCTTGAATGCAAACAATTTACCAAAAAATAAATAACTCATTTCATCGGCGTGACACGCTCCTGTCGATATAAAGTATTCATTATTATTATAATATTAGATATTGATCATTTTTTCTCAACGAGGAAGGATTTTTTTACAATACCCATTTATTTACATTATAAAAAGTATAATATAAAAACACAATAGTCTAGAAACGCAAGAAAAAGTTAATTAAATGTTTTTTTTTTTTGTAAAATTTATCAATACATAAGTTAAAATAAATTTACAAACTGATATATTGTACCTTTCAACTTTAGGAATTCCGGTCTTGTAGCAGAAAGAAGTTTTTTAAACACATTAATTTCTCCGTCAAATTTAAATTCATAGTTGTAAACTGGTGTTTTGCCTTTTTCGAGTAAGTGGTTGAATGCTTTGTGGAAATCTTTGATAAAAAATACATCACTGAATAGCTAAAAAGAAAAAAGTAAACACAATAAATTAATATGATACAATAAAAAAACGCAACTTTTATAAGTCTAGTTTGACGTTTGATTATAACTAGATACATTTTTTGAACTATAAAAACAAAACGTATAAAATAAATAATTACTTGTACTAAAAATTCTTGACTTAAAAACTGCAATTAATTTATACTTACAATTTACATTAAAAAAAATTATACAAGTTTAACATAATATTTTAAGGCCATACTTAAATATTTGAAGATGTATTTTAATATTTCAAAAATTTTAAAACCAATATAACTTTAGATTAATCTCACTTTGAATTTCTACTCAGAATTAAAAAATAAATTAAGAAGTATAAATAAATAAAAAAATGTTTGAATCTTTTTTTTTTTTAACTCTATTGGTTTAACGCGTTTTAACAATTTCATGTTAAACTACATTTATTTTTATATTCCATTTATTAAAAGTAGTGCATTTTGGAATTTTAATCCGAATTTTTTATAATAAGTTTAAATTGTTACAAATGTTAATCGATAATAATATGTTATTACCGTGCAAATACTTTCTAATTTCTCAATTTCAGATTTGGAATCGTAACCTTTATAGTAAAACGATTGAATCTTGTTTATGACTTTATCGCTTTTGAATTCACTATCCAGCAATTTACTAATATATTTGACTTTATTAAAATTCATTAATTTTTCAATTGCATGCTCTGAAAAAATAAGTCATAAAAAAAATGTGTTACTAACCGATAAAAAATATTATTTAATCAATTTTCACATGATATACTTAAATCATGAACTCAAAATCACACCATATGGTTGAATTTTGTTTGGTAGAATATAAATTAAAATGTTAACGCTAAAACATTTCGCTGAATAGCAACAGTTTATATAAACGTGTCAAAATTGCAAAATAATGCAAAAGCAATTACATTTAAATCGGCAATGATTTTAAACTAAAGCACAATGACATAAAATACGTCTTGTTTGTTGGAATTTTTACATTGTATAAATTTGCAAGCATTTAATTGTTTAGTTTTTTTAAATTTTCGTTTCAACTTCCAAATCAAATGGTATTGTGCAGTACAAATTTTACTTTATCGCATTACATACATCTTTTTTTTATAAGTGATATAAACTTGTCTAGTCTTGCAGTATTTTGTGCTAAATTAATTAAGAAAATCATTTGCCTCCAAACATTATCATTCCTTCTAAATTGTTGACTCCGGATATTAATGGAATCAAAGTGGCTGTTTTCAACAGTTCTTCTGGATGGGCTGGTAACAATCTCTCACTAACTTGATCGCTTTCAATGGACGGAACAAATTGGTAAACTAAAGCTTCTCTTTGGCCCTATAGAAAAAAAAAAAAAAAAATTTACATTTCCAAACAGCCAATAAAAAATATATTCGACCTACTAAACAATTCATATTTTTATATAAAACATATTTTTATTATAGTTTGTTTCTCATCAACTTTCAAATCGATTTTATTGAAGTTGAACGCTCAGTCTGAAGTATTATTATAAATACACACACAGTTATTTTGTTATAATAATAATTTCACGTGAATACCTACTTGAAATGTATATTTGATCATAGAAGCCTTAACCAAGTCGTTCACTGGAACTTTTCTTAAATACTGGACTATTTTGTGAGGGTCATCTGAAGGACAACCCAAATCCGACGCTAATTTGAGCGCAGCGTTTTTGTGTTTCGAATTAAATGCCCAAGGATTAAAAGCACATCCACTTTGCATAATAGCTCTTTGGAACACACCTGACAAATCAACCCGGTTTAAAAAAAAACATGATGATAGTTATTAGCAGCAGCAAAATATAAAAAAATATTTACCTTTCGATAATGGAGAAAGTATATGATAATGAACAGATGCTGATCCAGCACTCTCTCCAAAAATTGTTATGTTATTGGCGTCACCTCCAAACTCCGATATGTTTTCTTTTACCCACTTAAACGCAAACAATTGATCCTTTAAACCCATGTTTCCGGGACAATCATCGATATCCAGGTTTAGAAATCCTTGTTCGTTCGTAACAGATAACAATAAGTAATAGTATAAAAATGAAATACCCAAATCATAAAGTCACATATACAAATACGTTAACTAAATATGTATTTATCGTGAATAAAAGGTTTAAAAGTTCTCATAGGCTTTTACCTAGAACATTAAGACGATAGTTAAGCGTGACCAAGATTACGTTTTCTTCGATTAAATAGTCCGGAGAATGGAAGTCAGACGATCCTGAACTAAAGTTAAACGCGCCTCCATGCACAAACATCATTACAGGTTTCTTTTTATTTAATTCCTATTAAAAAGAAAAAAAGAAAACAAAATATAATAAAATTCATTCATTCGAAACACTGTTTTTCATTTAACGTACTTGTGGCACAAATACGTTCAAGTATAAACAATCTTCCATTCCGACAATTTTTTTCGTTATCATTACATCTTGTTGTACGCAAAACCTTTTATCTGAAAAAGCTTTGTAAACTCCGGTCCATCCAGGGTGTTCGACTGGTGGCTGGAATGAATAGTTTAATATTAATACAATATTATTGGTAAACAAGTTTCACCTGGGTACAAAGTAAAGGCAATATACTGTTAATTACCTTAAATCGTAGTTCATTGACGGGCGGCTTAGCATAGGGTATCCCTTGAAAACTGACAAACGGTTTGTTCGACAGGAGAGTCTTAGAATATTGACCTTGTAGAGCTCCTTGTTTGATATTAACGATCATTTTTTGCTTCTGGGCTAAACAAAAAAAATGTACTTATATATATTTTAATATTATGGAACTACTAAAACACTAAAGATAACAAAAAAAATTGAGATAACATGATTATTAAAAATGATATAAAAAAGATAACAAAAACAAATTTTTAAACCGCTGGTTTTCCTTTCGCACAATATTTTGGTCATACTTACTTAATATGACATCTCTTATTTTGTTGAATTGATTTTGTAATTTGGAAACCTATACTTTATTGCAAAATATATTTTGAAATAACAAAAATTTTTACCTACATAGTACAAACCAGCTATCCATATATTATGTTTGGTAAATGGAAAACGATCGTCATAGTTTAAAATTTAAATAGGTAATACTATTTTAGAATTAATTTCAACGATGAGTAGAATAATATGATGTAAACCTACATTATCAGTAATTTTAGTTGTAATTTAAAAAAAAAACGCCAAATAACAAATGAAAATGCAATAATAATAAAAATACTTACACAAGTTAGAACTTGATAGTTTTTAATCACTAGTTTCGGATATTAGGATTTGGCTACAAAGTAAATATATAATAGATACATAAAGAATATTTTATTGTTTATCCCCGTAATCTCGATAACAAATAGTAAAACAAGGAACATAATATTCTTATTCCTTTAGCCATACTTACAGTTTCTGAAATAGTATGATGTGGTAGTTTATTATAAGTTATATTATGTAGCTTGTATACACAGTGAACAAAGCAAATTCGTTGTGTCTGTGCACAATTTTTACAAAAACTGAATTTATTCCGGTTTTCACTAAAGAGCATTGTTTCACAAGAAAAGTTTCACAAGACACATAACAGAATAATTATTTATTCTGTTTATTGTTGTTCTTATTATTGTTGCACATATTATCATAATATTATGAGAATGCAGTGAAATAACCTTGTAAACCTTTGTGAAATTAGACATTTCTATAAGATAAAGCTTGTCATATGGTAGCTAAAAGGACCTTAGCAAGTAGGGCTTGTTAAAACAGGGGAGCTATTTAGGAGAAAATTGAACTAGAAATTATGACCATGTATACTAATTAGTATTGGAGTACTATTATACTTTATATTAGTAGAGTAGTTAATAAGGAAGTAAATAACTTTCTGGGACAAAGACTGGGGCAGAATAAATTTAATTAAATTAATTATGAGGGTCATATTATATCATACCAGTGCTTAAGTTTAATTATTTAAAAGTTACACAATTACTTATTACTAAATAAAGCAATACAAATAATAAAAACTTAGCAATAATGAATAACCAACATAAATTAAAAATTAATAAATATTGACACGATTTTTTTTCTTCATTATATAGGAATAAAAAAGTACTCAAAGTATAATATTTTAATTTTTTTTATAAATATTTTTTTGATTAATTGTGTGTTGTTGAATTGAAACAGTCGATACGATTTTACTGTGTTTTAAAATCAAATGGACCTTAACTTTCTAGTTATTTATAGTTACTCTTATTGCCTACCCACATTATAGTATTATCTCTCAGCTTTAAGAAGAAGAATACATCAGTTAGGTTAGGCTAGGCGTATTGCGTCTTTTTTTTTTAATTCATATTTTTATAATTATTTTATATTTAATTAATACAACGCGACACACTGTAGTGCAAAACGCAATTTCAAAATGCATCCCTTATTTAGAGGACTAGGTTTGAAACAAAACTATTCTTATAACATACTTTGTATACTTCATATTTAATTAAATATTTAAAACAATTAACAAATCGTTAAACAAAAAAATCGATATCAATTTTTAAATCAGCGACCAAAGAACATAAAACGTAACTCATTCGAAGGCAAGGTGAGGAAATTTCGGCTTGGTAATAATATGGTTCGCCCCGTAGATATAGTCGATACCAACAACACAATACACACCTAGCCAAGTTTTTTCACACGTATTTTATTTTGTTATAAATTTAGCATTTACGATTATAATCACAGACTATATTGAAGATTTCCATTTAGTCTGTATTAATATACTTTGAAATATCCTTATCAATTTATGGATAGCAGCAGCTGCTGTTGTCACTTATTTAGTTATTATGAATTATTGTAGGTATATTTATTTTGTGCAGCTCCATAAAAAAATTGCCAATGGTACCAAGCCGTGAAACCACTACACCACTCTGTTTAAAAAGTTAATTTGCAATTTTTTAATATTCTGAGTTTTTAACAGACTTAAATTGTGTACTATGTAAAAATTCGAATCGTAAAAACTCAGTCTGTTTAAATATTCTTTTAAAATTACATTAATTAGATTTAACATTATTCTGTAAATAAAATTTTAAAGCCAACAAATGAATTGTTGGTTACTAATGGTTACCAATGACATTATTTTTACAAAATATAAATCACGTAATTTCATTCCTTTTAAAAATAATTTTGATTTAGTAACAATAAAAAAAAAACCTGTGCGTGTGTCTTTATACGCGGCTAAATTACATGAGACAACTTTAGCGTCTGTGGAAATGGGAGAAAGTGAGTGATAATTTAGAAAATAATGCAATGCTGATGTTTATAATATTTGTATTTTTCCAGTTTTATTCTCCAGCTATGCAACACAACTGGGAGCTGTCGCCAAAATCTGGCATTCGTTAGACAATTCCTGGCTTCCTACAAGTTTCGTGTGGCAACTGCAATCATCCGCCCCGACACCATTTTTACCTGCCACTACTAATAATAAGATGTTTAAGACTACTGAGACAGTAAACTTGTTAATACTTTGACGGTGCAATTGCATATACTTCTCATCAAAAGTAGCGGGGATGGTCAAGTAAAAAGCGTCACGTTAGAAGTGATCGCTAATTGCATTGGCATTAGGGTATTAAATTTTAATATTTCAACGTTTAAAATCAATTTTGTGGTTTATCGGCGTTTGAGCAGGTCACACTAGGTTTTTGGCTTTTGGTCTCGTCGTCGTCGGTCAGACGATCACCACGCATGTAACGAAAGCGGTTTTTCCCGGTGACCATTTCGGCCGTGATACGAACGCTGACCACGTCCGACCCGGGCAACTCGTACATGGGATCCAACAGGATGGATTCGACGATGGACCGTAACCCGCGGGCGCCGGTGTTTCTTTCCAGCGCCTGTTCGGCGATCGCCAGCAGCGCGTCTTCGGTGAACGTCAGGTCGACTTTGTCCATGCCGAACAGCAGTTGGAACTGTTTGATCGTGCTGTTCTTCGGTTCGGTCAGAATTTCAACGAGCAATTTTCGGTTGAGCGAGTGGAACGGCACCAGCACCGGGAACCTGCCCACAAACTCGGGGATCATGCCGAACTGGACGAGGTCGCGGGGAGTGACTTTCTTCAGCAACTCGTCTCTTTCGGCGTTTTGTTTTTCCACGTCCGACCTGTCGGACGACGGCGACGACGACGACGATGACGATAACGTAAGATCCCCGTCGGTCGGCTGTTGTCGACGGCCGGCGAAGCCGAAGCTATTCGTCTGGGTGCGGCGACCGATGAGCTTGTCGAGCCCGGTGAACGCGCCGGACGCCACGAACAGTATGTTGGTCGTGTCCACCGACATGGTTTCGGCACGGGCTCTTCGGCTGCTCTTGTCGGTCACGTTCATCACCGTGCCTTCGAGCATCTTCAACATGGCCTGCTGGACGCCTTGGCCGCTGACGTCTCTCCACTGGTGGTGCCCGGACGCGGCGAAGATTTTGTCGATCTCGTCCAGGAACACGATTCCCGTCTGCGCCTTGTTCACGTCCGAGTTGGCCGACTTCAACAGTTTCGCGATCACGCTCTCGATGTCTTCGCCCACGTAACCGGCCTGCGTCAAATTGGTACAGTCGCATATGGCGAACGGCACGTCCAAGTGCTTGGCGACGGACTGCGCCAACAGTGTTTTGCCGCTCCCCGTGGGCCCGATCAGCATGATGTTGCTCTTGTCCAACGTGGTGTTCTTGAACATCGCCGAGAACTTGTCGTCTTCGTCGCCCTTGTCCGCGGCGTTCAAGTGCGGCGCGTCCAGCGCGTGGTTGACCGGGAAGAACTCCCGGGAATTCCACACGTCGTCCATGTGCCGGACGACGGCATCGCGCTTGCCGCTCTGCGCCTCGGCGCTGTGCGAAATCCGTTTACAGTGGTTGTACACGGCCACGGACAACACTTTCTTGGCCAGTTTCTGTCCGATCACGTATTTGTCCAAGTGGTCGGCTATTTCTTTTGGCGTCAGTTTGTGTTTCTTTTTATCGGCCTCGGCGGCCTCCGAGCGAATTCTGTATTGCATCTCTTTGGCGGTTATCGTTTTGAAAACGTGAAAACACTTCTGGCATCTCACAAACTTGTCGGTGGTCAAAAAGAACTCTAAAATGGTGTTGCCGCACCTCGGGCAAAGTATACCTGTCTGGTATCCGCCGGCCGCCGGTCCCGTACCGCTTATGGTCCGCCAACAGGTCGACGACAAATGAAAGTTTCTCCGCAGTGCGTTGTTGGGCACGAAGAGCTGGCGACCGACGAATTTGAAATTCCCACGCGGGTTCACATGATGACTTCCGTATAATCTTAACGCTGCGCAACTCGACCAAAATAATCGAAATTTTGACGACATCTTGTGAAAAACTTGTGTTGGGATTTAACATGAAAAGATCATTTTGTGTGAATTACATTTAGGAATATTGTACTTATAGTTCTTAAAGACAAATGTATTTTAGCAAATAAGCAATTAGTTGCGTTTTGTTTATCGAACGAGTAACACGTATGTTCCGCTTTCGAGTGCCGAATTCGCGCGTTGTGTTTAAATGTTGTGTTGAAAAATGTTTTCGCTAACAACGGAAAAGTGTTAAGTGTTTTAACATAAATAGGTCACGCGCAAACGGCGGCTTGTACGTCATTTTGCAATGAATTCAAATAATCAGCCAGGCAATGTTTACACGGCACCAAATCAAATTGTTATTGACCAAGCAATTTTAAATGAATACAAAATGAAAACGAAAATTTCAAAAAAATGGTATTAGATCTACAAGCGAGTATCGTACAATTGCAGAGCCAATTTTTAGACTTCCAAGTGAGTAAAATAAATAATACTAATACAAATAAAAACTCATACAGAGTTACATGAAGAAACGGGTTCTAGCTCAGGTGCTAGTTATAGCCCGTTGAAAAAACGCGTAAAATTGGGAGGAAACACTTCTGTCAAAACTGTGCCCAAAATATACAAACCACCACCGATTACGGCTTGTGGTATTTAAAATATACAACATTTAATTAGTTGTTTAACACGTGAAGAAGCTGCTGGTCACGAGCAACAGCTAAAAACAAATGCTAACGGTGACATAAAAATCCTAACAGGCGATGAACACCAATTCAGACGCACATGAAAAATTTTAGACGAAAACCAGCTAAAAACGGAAAAAAAATTTCGTGTTGTATTACGCGGTTTACATCCAGATACTGATATCTGCGAGATCAAAAGAGACCTTGCGGACCTAGGTCATTCTGCAGTCGAGGTTTCGAATATCCAAATTAAAAAGAAACTTAACCCAAATAAAAAAACAGCGAATGGAAGTATATAAAACTACCTTTGTTTTTTGTGGACCTAGATCCGCAAGCAAATAACAAAGATATCTATGGAGTAGACAGTCTTTGCTACCACAAAATTAAAGTCGAACCTCCAAGAAAAAAAAAAGTGCCACAGTGTAAAAATTGTCAATCCTTTTTACATACCCACAACTTTTGTCACAAAAAATCGGTTTGTGTCAAATGTGGCGAAGATCATAAAACAGAAAACTGTTCAAAATCAAAAGCTAAATGTGCAAGTTGTGGAGAAGCTCACACCGCCAACTGGAAGGGGTGCTCTGCCTACAAAAAGGCTGAAGAGCGAGTGCATCCAAAGAAGACAACTGCGGTACAGCGTATTCAGCAAAAGTCAGTTAAAAAAGTAACCTCGAATAATACCTATGCACAAACGGCTAGTTCTTCTAGTACCCAACAGATGACGACACAAAAGCCTGTACAGCAACAGCAGGAAAATAATGATGCCTCCTTAAAAGAGGTATTATCCGCTCTGGCTAACATTACAAAAACGCTAAACAATGTTACTTCTAGATTGGATAGGTTAGAAAATAATAACCAGTCCAAAGCTAAGAACAACGCGCAAAAGAAAAATAAATGAACCGTACACTGCGGAGCATAACGTGGAACGCTAACGGGTTAGTACAACGTAAACAAGAACTTGAAAACTTCTTAAACACTGAAAATATTGACATTGCTTTTGTATCTGAAATACACTTCACATCATGGACTGTTCTAAAAATAAAAAACTATAAAATCTATACAACTTACGGTTACGGCTATTCATTGCCCACCGCAAGGAGGTGCAGATGAAATTAAATTTACTGCATTTTTCCAAACGCTAGAAGACCGATTCATTGTTGGAGGTGACTACAATGCCAAGCACTCTCACTGGGGATCAAGACTGATCACTCCGAAAGGGCGTGCTCTACTAAAAGTAGCTAACACTATAAACGCTGAAATAATTTCTACTAGAGAGCCAACCTACTGGCCAACCGATTCTAAGAAAATCCTCGACCTGCTTGACTTCTTCGTAATTAAAGGCATCTCCTCTAATTATGTTGAAGCTGAAGGACTAACAGAGCTAACGTCCGACCACATCCCTGTGTTATTATCGTTAAGCTCAAATGTCATTATGAAAAAACGAAAACATTTTCTAACAAACAAATACACAGACTGGGACCGGTTTAAAAATACTCTGGAAGAACCTATCACTCTTTCTGTGCGGTTAAAATCGTTAACAGATATTGAAATGGCAGTACATAAACTGACTAATGACATTGTTGAAGCGACAACACCTGAAGCTCAAAAAGGCAACGACCGCGAGTTCAACTATCCAAAAGAAATCAGAGAGCTTGTTCAACAAAAGCGGCGAGCAAGACGAATTTGGCACAGAACTCGACACCCATCCGATAAAACCGAATGGAACCGAGTCAGCAAATTGCTACATGATAAAATCAAAGAAGTGAAAAATGAAACATTTAAATCGTATTTGTGTGGCTTATCTGCAACAGCCGATTCCGATTACTCGTTATGGAAAGCCACAAGACGATTAAAAAGACCTCGCGTTCATATACCACCCATCCGAAAGGAAGATAGCACTTGGGCGCGCAGTGAACAAGATAAAGCTGAAGTAAACGGACATCATCTCGAACGTGTATTTCAGCCAAACGACATAATTTCTGAACTTGACAGCACCCAATGTCAGCCACTCATTTCTACAAGAGAAATCATATGGCACTTTACACCACTTGAAGTAGCCCATGAAATCGATACCAACATCAACACGAAAAAAGCACCTGGATACGATGAGATTAGCCCACGCATCCTTAAAGAGCTACCTAAGAAGGCAATCATCCACCTTACTCACATCTTCAACGCCATCTTGCGAACGAAATTTGTTCCCGAGCAATGGAAAAGAGTGGAGGTAATTATGTTGCTCAAACCTGGGAAACCGCCCGAACAAGCCACCTCTTATCGGCTGATATCGCTTCTACCATGCATGTCAAAACTATTCGAAAAACTTCTTCTTAAGCGTCTTAGCCCACTTATTGAAGCAAAACAACTCATACCAGATCACCAGTTTGAATTCCGCCATAAACACTCGACCATCGACCAAGTTCATCGCGTAACGAACGTGATCAGTAAGGCGTTGGAAGAGAAAAATTCTGCTGTGGTATATTCCTTCATGTGGCCCAAGCTTTTGATAAAGTTTGGCACAAAGGTTTATTACTAAAACTGCAAGAGCAGCTCCCACATACGTGGTGTGCACTTCTCAAATCATATCTGACTGAAAGACATTTTCGTGTTAGATACGAAGAAACGACCACTAACTGGAAGAGTATATCAGCTGGAGTACCTCAAGGTAGTGTTCTCGGACCTATTTTGTACCTACTCTATACAGCTGATATTCCAACTAATGACGACACAACGATAGCTATGTTTGCCGATGACACAGCAATGCTGTCAACCAATAAGGACCAACAAGCTGCGACTGAGATCCTACAAGTGACAATCAACAACGTTTACGACTGGACAAAGCGTTGGAAAATAAAAATCAATAGTGACAAGTCGGTGCACGTCAACTACATGCTACGTAAAACCGCATATATCCCAGTCACGCTAAATCAACAGATAATCCCACAAAATGATTCAGCAAAATATCTGGGAATGCACCTTGACTCGCGACTTAACTGAAAACCTCATGTACCAAAGAATAAATGCGCAAACTGTATTGGCTAGTTGGGCGACACTCCGAGCTAGACATAACCAGCAAACGTCTCCTGTATGTATCGATCGTTAAACCGATTTGGATCTATGGTATTCAACTGTGGGGTTGCGCCAGTGTGTCTAATATCGAACTCATCCAACGTTGCCAGAACATCGCTCTTCGTACCATTGTTGCAGCATATCGGTATGATAAGAACGATATCATCCACCGCGATCTAAAAATAACATCCGTGCAGGATGAAATTACCCGGTTTGCCCGCAAACACGCAAAAAGACTGGAGCTTCACTGAAATACAGCTGCCATACAACTCCTCGACAACTCGCAAGACATCAGACGACTCAAACGACTCAAGCCATTCGACTTAGTCTAATTATTAGATTAAGAATGGGACTACTTCACTGGAAGTAGAACCCCACACATGTTTTGTATATGTATATATATATATTTTACTCATATGTATGTATTAATACTCTTTTGATTTATATTTATAAAGATTTTTAATTGTTTAAATAAAAATGCCCTTAGGCAATTAAAAAAATAAATAAGCAATTAAATGTAAGCCAAACAATTAAAACCAAGCTATACAAAAATTGTCTACACAGTAAAAATTTCAATAATGTTTATTATTTAAGGCCGCCAAAGTTACTTTGTCGGATGCACTCTCCCGTAAGCGACCGTTCTGTTACGAGGAGGGTATTGTAGCGTGTATTATTGTTTTTAAATTGTTCTTACGAATATTATAATTGTGTGTATGTTTTATTAACTTTTGAGTTACTTTTCTTTTACTTAATTTAAAAGTGTTACCTTTTCTCCCGTCGATTTTAAGGTAATTTGAACTGAGTGTTCTTTTATATTAAGTGTTTTGTGTTAAAGACCGCATCTCCTGAGGAAGCCACAGTACGGCTCTTGTTTCTTTGCTAGTGTCAGTAATTGCGGTCTAGCTACTAACCGGTTTATTATAGTTATAAAGCTAGACAATATAATTGTCCCGAGGCATTATACTATTTATAATCAGAGGCTTGCTCGTTGGATGGAAAAACACCTGAGGCAGAAACAATCCGAAAGGTGACTAGAGCTCTGCCACATTTATGCGCACTTACTAAAAAGTCACTTTAGTGTTTAGGTAAAAGGTATTAAGTAATTGTATTTACAGTGTATGTGTGTTTAACGGTTCGTGTACCAAAGTGCGTATACGACAATATAAAATACATGTTTGGCTATAGTAACACAATGCTAAATGTTATCTGTTATATACCGTATATTATTTAATAATAATAATTACACAAGAAATTATATAAGTATACTCT